CCCGATCCCCCTCCACCCACCCCGTCCCCCACCGCCAGGGAACTCCAGGGGCCGAGGCTGACCTCCAGCCCTCCCCAGCAAACTCACCTGCGTATTCCTGAGGCAGCATCGGCCGGCTTATAACTTTCTGAAAAGTGGTAATCCACTCCAGCTGGTCGTCCTCCGTCTCGCAGGCGAAGAGGAATTTCCGATCCGGGGTGACGATGGTTATCCCGTGCTGCCAGTGGTTTCCCTGGGTGGAGGGCGGGAGCCCTTCCAGGACCTTGTAGCTGTTTTCCTTGCTCCCAATAAAAACTTCTCCTCTGGCGAAGGCATCCTAGGAGGCAGCGGAGCGGTGATGCGGAGGGCAGCAGGACGCGTCTCACCCTGCTCCAGCCCCACCACCAAAGTGCAGCAGCCGAACACCGAACGCACCAGTCTCCCCACAGAGCCCCACTCAGCTCCTCCCGTGGGCACCCACAGTACGGGACCAACACCCGGGATCCAAAATTCAGCTGCAGGAAAATCTGCAGCTGGTCCACGGGGTTCCTGAAGCATTTTTGGTGAGTGTCTGTGCGTGGGGCTACTGCACGCTGAACATCGGGCAGATCCAACCAGCAGTGATGGCTCTGTGCCCTCTCAGCTCTCCCACCAGCCTGGGATTCACCACATCATCATCATCATCATCATCATCATCATCATCATCATCAATCATCATCATCATCATATTATTATTATCGTTGTCATCATCATCATCATCACCATTGATTATTCCCAGCAGACAGCCCAGGCACCTTCATCTTACCAGGGGATCTTTGAAATACATGAGCCGTCGGTCATCCATGGTGAACCATCGCTTCTTGAATCCCTCTGTTTGCTGAAGAGTCCAAAAATGCAGGATTACACACCAAAGCAGCGCAGCTCCTCGCCTACCGGGCACGACTCGGGAGGATCGGGGCACGCGGAGGAGCCCGATGAGTTGGGGGAGATGGGGACAGGCGGCTTCTGGGCCACTACGGGCTGGCACAGCAGGGCCCAGGCCAGCTTGCCCACCCAGGCGGGGCAGTGAGAGGGGACACGGGGTGGTTGCTCTGGGAAGCGGGTCTGGAGTTTTTTAATGTTTGCTTCCAGGTGGGAAAAGTGTATTAACGCATTGGCGGCATTAAGGCTTCACCTCTCCATCAAGGGTGGGTCTGTGCCACCAGCAGACCCCTCTCAGCCCCACACAGAGCAAGACTCGTGTTTAGAGGGACGACTGAAGTGCGCTATACCCTACCTTTGGCCCCGTTTTCTCCATGTACCCTTCCTTCAGGTAGTTTCTAGAAAGCTTTGGCACCAGCTGGAGCAACCGGAGAGAAGAGAAAAGAGGAGAACGTCAGACGGATGGAGCCGGGGGGTCGCTGGGCGCGCGGGGCAGGGCTGGGGGTCAGTGGGAGGACAGCCCACCCCGCGCTCGCCCCAGGCCCCGAGCCCACCCAACGGCTCTGGATGGATGGACGCGTCAGTCCCACTCCTCCACAGCGCGCAGAGGAGTGGGGGCAGAAACACAGAGCATCTTCCAGTGCTCCACCAGCAGCTGCCAGGAGAAGCCCCCGGGCCAAATCCCACCTCACCGGTCCGCTCTGGCGGTGCATCTCCTCCACCAGCCCCAGCAGGAGCTCCTCACGCAAGCCCTGAAGTATAATTTGCCTGAGAAACCTCATTAACACGCGCTGCCTGTGCACTCCCCCTTCCCGCGGACAGTGCTGACAACAGCTACCCGCCCCGGGGATATTTTTAACGCTGCTTAGTGGGAACCAGGCAGTAGCTGTGAGATCTTCTCAGATGCCTCTAAAAGCCTCTTGAAAGATGATGAGTCCCACCAAAACCAGGGCGGACGAGCCCGGCCGCGCGCCTCCCCGCCCCTGCTCCTGCCTTTCACTGAAACAGGTTATTAACGGCTCCGCGCTCCCGCGACACCTAACTCTGCCCAGCAGCAGCTCCGGTCGGGCAGGCGTGTGCCCTACAAGGGCAAAGACACCCCAAAATACAACAGCCCAAAGAATCACACAGCATCTTCGTCTTGGAGCCTCTGTGGTGGGCAGCGAAGGGCTCCGCAGGCTCGGCAGCCCCGGCGTTAGGCTCCCGGGACGGAGCTGGGGACACTTTGCTCATCACAGCGCAGAGAGGTTCCTCCACGCGGCAGATGGGTCCCCGAAGCATCCTTGAGAGAGGGATCCCCGGGAGCTCTGCCTCCTCAGCACGGTGTGAGCAATTCATACCTCTCTCCCACATTTACCCTGGCTCCCGTTTAAATTTAATGCCTTTGCATCGCTCTGACGGGGTAAAGGAATCATAAATTAGATGCAAATGATGGCAACACCCAGACTGGAGCCTCCGCGTGTACACAGCCCAGTCCCCACAGAGGTCTCCCCAAGCTGAAGGCTATGAAGGGTTGTTCAGTATTTCAAGGTTGCAAATTAAACCTGGCTAACCGTTATACTCCTCTGTGTCCTTCAAAGAATAAATGAAGAGAAGGGGATGATAAGTAAAACTATAAATAGCTTCTCTCCCCCCGAACCCGCCGGGGTGAGCGTGTGAACCCTCTCACCACCCCCCGGACAACTGGCGCCTCTGTCAAGGTCGGGGGGGGGTTGAGGCAATTCGATGCAGATGTGCCAACCAACTTTAACGGCAGTAGAGGATATGGGGCAGAAGCGATTATGGAAAGCACACGCTGCACCACGACGGCACTACCGCCGGCTAACGAGGCTGCTCTTACGCTTTTTCCTATTTCCCCAGTTTAACGTCGTATCAGAGAACGGTCAGGTGGGACAGCTCTTCCCTCTCCTCCCCTCCTCCTCCCCAGGGACCGGGATGATGCCTCTCGGGGGTAAAGGCTTTGGCCAGAGGTCCTCGGGGGGCACGGGCCACCCTGCAGCCCAGTGCCGGCCCCGGGCCACCACTGGACTCCTCCCAGGTGATTACCAGAAGGCAGGTAATGCAACTGGATTTCAAAATCTAGAAAGCCAAGGAGGTAACAGAGGAACCACCACCACCACCACCCCCCCCCAGTGGCCTGACACACCACTGGCAGCACAGTCAGCTTGCGCTGGTACTGCCTCTGCTATTCCATCAGTGAACGATAATGCAATTAGCAGCTCCAGCTCCCGGAAAACACAAGACAGAGACTCATACGCCAGGCTGCGCCGGGCGGCACGCAAGAACTCATCCCCGAGGCGCGGGGATAGCACGGACGCTCTTTTGCCTTCCTCTTTTCTACCTTCCAGCCTTTGTTTCAGCTTTTAATATTATAGCAACGATTTTGGGGGAAGAGGCTTAAGGGCTTCTGTACGCGTGACAGCACTGGAGTTACTCACACGCCCGGCTCACATTTGGAGTGTGAACATGTGCACACACACACACACACACGCAGTTTCCCAGGCGGGGGGCTGGTACCCGGTGCTGCACGGGGACCCACCACCATCGGGTCAGCCCAGTAACTGTAAAACACGCTGAAGAATGGAGCCCTCTCCAAGCCCTCCAGCTTGTTAACAAGATGCTAAAAATGAGCAAGAGGGGAGAAAAAAAAACCCCCAACCAACCCAGACCCTGCAGGAACACTCACATCGACATCGCTGGCTCCAGGGAATGCCACTTGTAAGTAATGAAACCGTGCTGCCCGGATGGCGTTGAACCAGTCCACTATTTCCTAATAACGAGGGAGAAAAGCACAGTGAGTTGCGCAGTCTGCACATAAAATAACACGATCCTGCTGCGTTTCATCTCCCCTGTCGCTTTGTCCCACATGGCAGAGCGCAGTTTAGCAGCAGTGCTATAAAAAATATAAATACAGACATAAAAGAGAGCAGCACAGGGGTGAAGGATGGGGAACGTCCAGCCTGTCCCAGGCTCAGGACATGCACGGAGCGCCGCAGCCTCCAGTGAGCACCGAGGGGTTTTCTGCAGAGGGAAGGACTTAAACACGTCCCTGAACTGGCAAAAGCAGCGTTCGCGATGTGGAGCCTGGGTGCAGCGCTCGGCTGGGCGCAGAGGCAGCTCGTCCCTCCGGCCGCCACAAGCAGGACACGCGAGGAACGCCTGAATCCCACCCAAATTCTGAGGCCTTAGCAACACGCTTCAGTGTTTTGTTAAAAGAGTGGCCAAATATCTCTGTATATTTGTACTCCAGTCTATCAGTCATGTCTGCAAGTCCACCAGGGACAAGTGACGTGCCAGCTTGATTCTCAGATGCTCTGGCACTTCTACCTTGCCTTGGTAGAAATCTCTCTTTTTTGTGTGTGGGGGGGGTTCCCTCTGAAATAGTTGTTTCATAACTTATTTGGTTTTAAACTCTTCTTTTCATTTGTCTCTGGTGAGGCCCGCAGAGGTTGTGCTGCACTGGATGCCTTTTTCAAGGTTTTACTGGGAAATGAGAAGTTAATTTTAAGTGATGCGCAGAGGGAGCTCTCAGACAACCGCCTCGGGGTCTAAAGGTACGGGCAAAGGAAGGGCGACGGCCGCGCTGCCCGCACCGGGACGCTGAGCTGCGGCGAGAGCGATGCTGAACTGTCCGGCTGTCAGTAACACACGTGAAGCTTCACCCATCGGGGACGGGTCTGACGAGCCAGACGATCCCAAAATAAACACCGTCACCCCTTTCAGGTGAGGCTGCTGTAGCGTAGGAAAGACCATGTCAAAGTGGAAGTCGGCCTTCAGAACATTTAAACTTTTTTATGCTTTAAAAATGACTGGGGAATAAAACAAAAGGCTCTTATGTGTAATTTTGGAGATCTCAATTTTAAGGAGTTGAGTTGGGCGTATCTCAAAAATGGTCCGACGTGACAAACAGCCACCTGCTAAAAGTTCACATGCTTTGCTTTGTTAAGGCAGCAGCACCCGCAGCTCTCCCAGCTGCTCCCGCCGTGGCTTCCAGGAGAAGACCTGCAGAGGGAGCTTCAGCCCTGGCCAGGAGCTCGGCGTGGTGGGAAACCCACTCCTGTGGCTTCCTGAGCTCCCAGCGCCAGCGGGAGACCTGGGGGCAGCTGAAGGCCGTGGGGCTCCAGCCCTGGGCCCGCAAGAGGGACAGCCCTGGTGAGGGCGGCAGTCCGGGTGCCTCCGGCAGATGGGGCAGTCTGCATGGAGCCATCACCCCACATCTCCAGCTCCAGGAGGTGCCTCAGCTTCACCCCGGCTGGCTCGGGATGTCGGGTGGTGGGTAAGAGCTAACAAGGGACTGCAAGAACATCCTTTAAAACGCTTGCAGCCCAACCCCATCTTGCCCTGCCCCTCCAGGAACCCACTGTCGTTACACACCCGCATCACGAAAACACCCAGATATGCCCATTTTGAGCAGGGTGCTGGGACTGGTTTCAGTTTCCTGTTTGCCATCAGGACACACCGAGGAGCTGACGAAGCCACCAGGCTGAGGTCCCGCAGGAACTACATCTCCAGCCAAGACCTTGAAGATCATCCAGTGCCACCCCCTGCCCTGGGCAGGGACACCTCCCCCCAGCCCAGGTTGCTCCCAGCCCCGTCCAACCTGGCCTTGAACACCTCCAGGGATGGGGCAGCCACAGCTTCTCGGGGCAACCTGCCCCAGGGGATCACCGCCCGCACAGGAGAGAATTTAGTCCTAATATCTCATTTCAATCTCCCCTCTTCCAGTTTGAAGCCATTCCCCCTCGTCCTATCACTACATGCCCTTGTGTAAAGTCCTTCCCCAGCTCTCCTGTAGGTCCCCTTTAGGGGGGGGTATTGTATCATGAGTTCTTCTGGGGTATCATCGCCGAAGAGCCAGTGGAGAGCAGCATGCGATGCTCCAGATTACTGCTGAGCTCCTCAGCGGGACAAAAACCCCAAATCCTTCCCTGGTGGGAGGCCAGCCAGATCGGGGACAGGATTAGGTGGGGAGGGATCAAACCCCAGAAATATGAGACAGGAACCTAAATCAGGCTCGAGCGCTTCGGATCGGGGAGAGGCAGCACCTCTGGGGTACCAGGGGACACCCTGCGGCTGCCGGGGGAGTACGGGAGGGAGCAAAGGGCAGCAGGAGACTGCAGGCGAGTCCCAGGGCTGCCTTCGGTCCCAACGGGTGGGGGGACACCCCGGGGGGTGTCACCTTCCTGCAGCCCTCACTCAGCCGAAGGGCAGAGCGATTTCAGGGAAGTGGAAAGAAATCCACCCTGGGCGTTATCGGACGGCATCAGCGCACGTCCTGCCAAGCCACCGAGACAAAGGCAGGACCACCGCGTGATACCTGCGAGAATGCTCCTTCCATGAGCCCCCAGCAGAAAGCTCAGCATTTTATCCCCCCCAAAACCCCAAATAACAGTAAAAGCTTGACTCCAGCCCTCCCAGCTGGGCTACGCGGACCACCAAGGCCCAGCAAACCACAGACGTGGGCACGACAGTGGGACGCAGCTTTCACAGGAAAGAGCTTCTTCCTTATTTCGGTTCCAGCTGTGGCCGGGGACGTACCCGCCAGCGACGCCGCGGCACTTCGCTGTGGTAACGCCTCACCTGGTGCCCAGCGGCGCCTGCTGCGTACCGTGGGACTTGCCTATCCCACCAGGCAGAGCCGATGGAGGGGAGGGCCAATTCGGGTGCAGCCCTGCCGGAGCAGCTCCTCCGGACCCGCAAGCGCAGGGAGCGAGAGCCCGCGGCGCTGCGGGATGCTGAGCCGGAGAGACGCAGCCCGGTGAAGGCATCCCGGTGCGCGCGGCACGCAGAAGGCACGCAGGCACCACCACGCTGTGCTGCCGCCCACTGAGCAGCAAGAGCTGCGTAGGTTTAAGTGGTCATCATTGCTTTAATTTTATAGATAAACATATATATGGGGGGGAGGGGGGGGAGAGAAAGACTTCCTTTATATATCTACATACAGCAGCACAGACACAGGCACACATTCATCTCTGTACGTCTGTTATACACATCTATGCATGTGTGTGCATGCGTATTACACGCACATTTCTGTGCATGTACAAAACCAGGCGATGCCGCTAATTAACCCAAACCCAGCGCACTAATTGCCTCCTGCCAGGGGTGCCTGCACCGCGCAGGAACGCACTGAGCCTCTGCAGCGCAGCCCTGTGAGCGCGACGGGCATCACCCGGTGCCACTGCCACCGCAGCCTCAGCGGCAGCAGAGACAACATCAGCTTTGCTCACCCACAAGTGAGGAATATTTTGCTTTTTGGTGGCATTATCAGCATACACAGCCCGGAGAGGAGCGACTGCCATGAGCACACACTGCTTATCCCCAGCAGCTGCCGGGCTCGCCGTGTCTGGGTGAACAGCCGGGAGAGGGCTGTGCTCCGAGACGATCCCGCAAATCCCTGCCGTGCCAGTCCATGAGGGATCGGCCCCAGAAAGCCGCTCTGACAGACAGGGCGCTGAACGGGATGTAACATCAAAGGCTGAAGGCACCGTGACAGCCAGAGGAAAGCGGATGGGATGGGAACACGACAGCTCTAGGCTCTGATTGCGTGGCTGCTCCAGGGCTGCTGACACTTTATGGGGAGCTCAAAATATTTCAGGGAGGGAAGAAAGAGATGAAAATAAGGCTGTGAGATGGCATCCACTGCAAACTCGCCCGGGTCTGCTCTCTGCATGGACACCAGTCCGTGGAGACAGCACCCACGGGGCAGCGCGGTGACTGCCGCTGTCCTTCGCGGTGGCCCCCCAGGAGGGTTGGGACCTCCTCACTGCCATGGACTCCACGTCCTGCTGTCTTCCTGCAAGTGACCACCCCACACCCGTGAGCCCTCTTCTTCACACCTCCCTTCAGAGGCACGAGGGCATCAAAGCGAGGGGATTTATTCCAATACAAACATGCAGATTTGCATTTCATAAAGTACAAGACAGGCAGAGAAACAACCAGTTCCTCACTTCTCCTACAATCCAGTTCACTCCCCTTTTCTGAGTCCTTGGATTGAGCCCACTAACTTTTCATTGCTTCATTCACCTCATCTCCTTCTCCGGGCACCGAGGAGCCTGCCTTAAAAAAATGCCTCTTGCCCCTACGTCTAGTTGCAAGTGGAGGAACAGCAATTTCTTCCATTTGCATCTTGTTATTTAGAAGACACGGGGTTTGCAGCCTCTGTGCTTGGAAGGACGTGACAAACCTGCTCAAAGCTGGTTGTGCATCCTGTACCCCCATCCCTTCCGCACCCCCAACAGTTCCCAGCGGGGTCAGAGCTGGTACTGAGCAGCATCAACCCCCAGGACCACGACCCAACCCTTCTTGTTACCTCCACGCTCTCACCTTGCCATCTTCATGATAGACAAAGATGTTCCTTGTGCTATTGTCCTTCAAGTAAGTGATCTGCAGTCCGTGTGGGTTCCCAATTTTTGCAGGCTGGAAAGTTGCATTTAGATGTTCGATCTTCATAATTGCTTTGGGTTCTTTTGCCTGAAAAACACAGCTGAGTGAGCAAACACCTGAGAATTGGCTTTCACACCAGAAAGCAGCTCACTTGGTCAGAAAAAACTCCTGATTGAGGCCATTAGCTAAAAAAAACCCTGACTCCCAGCCCACAAAACTGCCTGGCGATGAGATATCAGGGACTTTGCTTGGGTGTCAATGAGTGCTCTCTGCCAGCCTGGGAGAATGTTTTGTCCCCCAAAATTCAGCAGAGTTCAAGGGGAGAAAGGTTTCAGCCCAGAAGCAAGATGGACAGGCCAAGTCTCACAGGAGGATGTTGTGCTATAAAGACAAGTCTGTCTCTTCACCATGCCTCCTGGCTCAGACCCCAAGATCTCCTCTGGCCTCTTTACCTACATGTAAGTGACCAACGTTCACACCAGGATGAGCACTATCAAAGAAAGAAACCCATTCATCAGACTGCCAACAGACCAGGATGCGTTCTGCATCTCAAGCACCTCCAGCCAGTTCATCCTTGCCCAAGAAGATGGAGGATTATACCCCTTGTCAACTGTAGACCTGGGTGCTAGGCTGGCAGGGGCACCATGCCCACGTCCCCACCAGTCCTATCCTCTCACATGAGCCTTTGGCTTCTGACTCTGCTCCTCCCCTTGCCCTCCAAACGGTGAACTTTCTTTTCAGAGGAATAAATATATACCTTACAGCCACCTCTTGGATGGGTTAGCCCAAGGGTTGGCCTGGATCAGGCCCTCCAGGCACCAATCCCACCTGCACCCTCTGTGGCAGGTCACCTCAACTTTGTAGGGCAGTTTGTCTTCCTACAAAACACCTCTAGAAGTTTACCACCCCTTCAGGACTGCACCGAGGAGTGAACGAGTAAGTGTGAATAAATCATCCCAAAAAATAAAGATCAGGCTTTTGGTAACAGCAGTTTTAGGGCACAGCCAGGGGCCAGCGGTGGGTCGTGTGGTGGTGCTGTTGTCCCCAGCACCACGCGGAAGTCGCTGAGCTGGCGGAGGCACTAATGCCACTTTGGGAACTTGGGGACTTGCCGCGGACACACAGCCGTCGTGGGTGACCATGGCGGGGAAACCCCAGCAAAGAGGATGCGTCTACACAGCGCCGTTCCCACCATGGCTATGGTCAACAACGAAGCAAAGCAGTTTTAAACTACCAGAGCAGTCAATACTGACTGAATGGGGACTCCTGGGACTTTCACTTCTCCCTCGGTAATGACTGGCTCTCTCCTGTCCATGAGATGCAATTGCATCACACCACACCAAGACGGTGCTACCGAAGCTGGCTGCTGGGCGTGGAGAAGCGTGGATGCATGTTCCCCTCCTCTGCACGGTGTGGCTCATCAGGACACCACGATTGCATCAATTACTTGAGAAAACTGGCTGGCGGCTTGGACTGGGCTGCTCTCGGCTGCGACATTCAAGAGAGACTCAAAGGGCAGAGGAAACACCAGGGCTTCCTCCATTACATGGTGCGGAATAGTAGAGCGTCTCTCCATTCTTCACAAATGCAATCTTCATGGTAAATAGCTCCACTTCTCACTTACAACGAATGAAATGTGCTCTGGGGAAAAGGACAAATGCTTCCACCCTGCTTGATGCCAGAACAGAAAACTAGGGAGCTCTTCCTCTGGATTGCTTGCCGTGCCACGCAAAGGAGGTCTCAGACCCCAGTGACCAGTGTGAGGTGGTGATACCTTCACCATAGGCTAGCCTGTGGGTGGAAACCCACAGCAGCTGCATGATGCAGAGCCAGCGCTGAGAAAAACTCCCTCATTGGTGGTTTAAGAAAAGCCTGATGGACTTTAAAGGGCAACACGGCAGGAACACGTGAAATGGCCAGTTGGGGTGTCTCACCATGACTGCGGTGGTGGTGGTGGTGGACCAAGAGCAAACCCTACCAAAGAAAGTGATGAGCTGTACCTGGTGCCCTTGTCCTGGAGCGATCGGGGACCCTGTGCTTATGAAAACTGTACAAATAAAATGTTGGCCTAGGCACGACCTGTTCAAAGATGCTCCCACAGTTGCGATCCCCTGTCTGCACACAGCAGCCCCAGGTACTCACGTCATTTTTGTTGAAGTACTTCAGTGCACCTTCCCTCTCTGATAACACGAATTTGCGGCTTAAGAATTGCCCATTGTCGCGTCCTCTCTTCCACAGAAACCCTTCTCGGTACCCTGCAGCAGAAAGCAATTGCTGAGAACCAGGGATAAAACACTCTGGTTAAAAAAAGAGATGGGGTAAAGAAAAGGAGAAGAGCTTCGACTCCAAAACCAAGCAGACCAAATGTGTGGCTGGATTGCTCATGGCATGAACAAAACAGGCCTTCTCCTTCACGTTTGCCTTTCTCACTCCGCTCTTGCTCTTTTCCAACAGCCTGAGCGTCACAGATGTCCCCACTCTGACGATGTGGAGGCAACGGGCCATTTCCCCCGTGAACCCGCGTGGGAATACAGGCAAAGCCCTGGGGAGCCGGGCTGTGTCCCTGCCGCAGCTCCCGGCGCCAGGGATGCTGCCCAACTTACTCACGTTAACTAGAACTTTTGGAGCAAGGGAAAGGCAAGTGAGATCTGCTCTCCTGTGCCGACGCTACTAAAAATTTAAAAATGGGGTGTTTCCTGTTGGGGAAAGCGTTTCAGGGTGGATGGCTGTATCCCAGCAAGCCACAGAGACATTTTTCACATGGAAAAAGGAGCAAACGCTTGCAGTTCTTCCCACTGACTTCAGGACACTTTGGTTGAGAAAGCCACCAAGCCGGCCTCAGCGGTGCAGCCCCTCAGAGCCCCCCCTCCAGCCCCCTGCAGCCCAGCTGGCTGTGTCTGCCTCTTCCCTCCCCCTGGATGTCAGCCCCACGGGCGGATTCACTGCTCCGGAAGAGCTCTATTCAAAATACACATGCTTTATTTAAAACTCAACAGAACCATAAAGAGAGAAAAAAGAATCTAGAAATCATAACTCCTCAAATCGGAAAAGCAATTACGGCTGATCAGTGCCAGCACCTCCTGCGGCCACAATGCCCAACTTATTTCACCAGTTTAATTGACACCCTTATCTTAAATGCTTCAAAACGAAGAAACCCCAAGAACTGTCCGATATAAGCTTTGTGAATATTAACAGAGCAGTTCGATGGTCATCTTCCATTTATTTCAGATATAATTATATAAAAGTCTCACTGAGAAAGTGTTCCCTTTCTCTCTCAGTTCCACACTTGTTAGGTTTTTGTTATTGGCTCTCAGGAGCTAGGATTTTAAAGTTAAAAATTATATGGTTTATAGCAACTTTCAGCTAAATAACTAAACTTTTTTTTCAATATGCGAAGTGGCTCTGGAATCAGCGGGCAGCCTGTCTGCCACGAACCAGTGGTGCGCAGAAATGCCTCGTTCAACCCGCTTTTCACTTGTCCGTCCTGATGTACGATTGATGAAAAGATGCAGAAAAATCCCTCAACCAACTCCTCAACACCGACTCTATAGGTACAAGTCACATAAAATGTTTCCATGCCACAAAAACCTAAAGCAAGAAAAAACATGCACACAGACACCCATTTAATGATCAGAAAAGACAGGAAGAAAAGAGTGATATTGGCAACAGCTAAAGATGCTAACGGAAGGGAAAGTGCCCATCCAGCTAAATACACCTTTGCTGACAGCCAAAATACCAGTTTCTTCTGGCTGGACTTACAAAACTAAGTCAAACACTTTCTCCAGATGCTCAGAGAAACCTTTGCTGAACGCCAGGCAAAGCCACCGCCGTCTGCCCCAGACGAGCGCGACGGCAAAGCCGTGCTGTCGCCAACGCCACACGCTGCCCGCGGAGAGCGTCCCAAACCCGACCGGCGCACCCGACGGCCGGCACGCGGCAGCGCGCACGGGCTGATAGCTTGATGCAGGTGGAAGCGGTGGAAATATTTAAAGCTGCCAGCAGCCTTTCCTTTCACTATTTATTCTGCACGGGGCGTATGTCGCAGCAGGGCTGGATTTAGCGACGCGGTCCTCACCCTGCTCCCCCGAAGGGGCGCGCGCTGCCACCCAGCAGCAGTGAAATCCACATCACTGCCCAGAGACGCAGACGGGACAGCCCAAACCCTCAGTTATCCCACAGTCATGGACAACCGGTGATGCTACAGCACTGTTCCACCTCTGAGCCCTCCCCATCCCTCCAGCGCAGGACCAGTGCTCTGCCCCATGCCGAGCACCGGCACCATGTGCGCTGCCAGCTGTACCCATGTGCACCAGCCCAGTAACCAGAGGACTGACACCATATGTATCAAGGGAATTACAGGTCTGAAGCTCTTTCTCTGGTCCACCCACCCATCCAGCTTGGAGGAGACTCCCCCAACGCCACAAGCAGGACCGGCTCATTCAGTCCATCGAGTCAACCCCATCCCAGCTCCAGCCGTGTGCTTTTTGTAAAGAAAAGACACGGCTAACCCATCAGAGGGCACCCGCAGTGTCCAAAAGAGAAGAACCCACTGGGGAGCAGGATTATCCAAAGTCTGAGCAAGGGGAAGCAGCCAAGAAAGCCACCGACACCCCGCCAAGGGCAGCCGCATCCAACAGCAGCGCGGGAAAGGCCCAGGCTGATGCGCTCGTATCACCGCCATGGCAGGAATTAATTGCCGTGGAGCTGAAGCTCTCACTGAATCAGTGTCGGATGCCGCTACTCGCCAGGCTCGTATCAGCAAAAAGTGCTACACAACCTATAGCGGGCTGTACACGACGGAGCTGAGTAGGAATCATATCTCTGTGACAGGAGACAGACAGGCAGTAGGTGATGTGCGGCTGATACGTTTATGAAATGCAAGATTTGCTTAACGGGAGGCAGCGATGCTGCTGGGGCTCTGACGGCTGGCGTTGGCTGACAGCTCTCTGGAACAGCAAAGCACTGAGCGGTGTGCTCTCAAGCGTGCGCTTTAGAAACCAGGGACAGGCGGTTTCTGTTCCTGAAGGGTGCCGATTTCTAACGCCAAGCCACTTGGAGCAACGGAGTACTTCAACAGCCATTTCTATTCACTCCACTAAATGGCAGAGACGGTTTCAGAGCCTCTCCGCCGCCTCTCTGTGCCTGACGTTTGGGGAACACCAACACCTCGTAGGGGGCTGGACAGGGCTGGGTTTGGAGGAAAGGACATCTGCATCAGATGAGAGAGAGGACAGACAGCGTGTGGAGGACAGGGACATCCCCAAATGCAAATGTGGGGTGATGCAGAGGGAAAGATGATCTTTTCCTCCAGAAATCCCCACCTGGGGTTTGCTGGGTCCAGCGGAGCGCTGGGGACACAGAGCTCGGCTCTCGGCTGCTGCACCTCGGAGCAGCTCAGCTCCACGAGTGTCGGCTGTGGGTCTCATCCATTCATTCGTCTCCAGTGTTTCATTGTGACCATCTGAATGGTGAAGGATGCTGCAGGCATTCCTCATTAAACTCGTTCCCCTCCACAACGTATTTTTTGTGATTTTTCTTAACACTTAAGGGATGAAGAATGAAATTACTCTGTATATCCCCAAAGAGGATCTCAAATAATTGAAAATCCGTAAAGTCCACCTAACGCTTCCCCCTGGCAGATGGGCATCATAACAGTTATATGGGAAGAGAGGGAAGCCCAGAGAGGTTTGGTGAGCTGCCCAGGACAAGACTGCGAGTTAGTGTCAAAGTCAGGCTGGAAACCCAGCTTTCCCTGCCCTCTCACCTAGGGACTTTTCATCACTTTGATCTTTTCTTTCCAACCTTTTGCGGCAAAACACAGTATCCAAATTCCACTCCACGGGAGAATTAAAAAAACCCAACACAATGCTAAGTGTCATCCCTTTCCATAGTTCACACACCAGCTCTTCCCAGACCAATCGCCTCTACGAAAGAGTGCCTGGCCGCTCTGACAAAGCCAGCAGCTAATTTCACTGAACTTTGGTACAGATTTTCATAAATCCTTTGTTTGCTTCTTTTCTTTCTTTCTTCCTTCCTCCAGGGCTGTGTCTCATGGAGCTGTTCCTCTGCTCTGCCCAAACCTGCCGCCTGCACCCCTGTCAACACTGATCAGTCCAAACCACCATGAACTGGACTTGAACCCAGCATGAACTCATCCAGGTTCCCCAGGCAAAGAGTATGTCAGCAAGACGTGTCCTCAATATCCTGATCTAAAGGATTGTGAAAACAACTAGAGAAGGTGTCAAGAAACAGAATTGCGGGAGGCTGAACAGGGCAACAGATCTCACACCGGAGGGCATCGGAGTTGGAGAACTAAAACATCTCTTCCTCATCTGTGTGGGCTGGACTACCTTAGCAACAGCTCCGTACTGAGAGGTATCTGGCTGAATTCAGACCTTCATGAGGGCTGTTCTGCTTACGTTGAAGCAAGACAATCGCTAGCCCTAAGACACTTGCTGATGGCTGGTGTTGCATCATGCAGCATCGTGTCACCAACACGTCTGCTTCCTCTCCCAAAGCGCAGAACGAGAGATGTGGACTCCTGTCGTCATCCCACTTGATCACCAGCACCCAACCGTGACCGCAGAAAGGACTACCTGGTGAAGACCTGCTGGAGACCACCTACGGGCACCCTCTAGAAATGTCACTCTCACATTGCTAACACCGCTGCTGCTCGGGTGACAAGTTTTCTGCATCACTTCAGCCACCCGCCAAGAAGAAAAGCCAATCGCTAGCTTTTGTAGACAGGTCTCGGACAAACCTGCGACACTCACAAAAAAACACCAACCAGTTGTGACAAAGTCAGCCAACAAACTGCATGAAATGTAACCTGAAATCACACAGCTGGAATGGGCATTTTTGACCTGTTATATAGTTTCCAAGGTAAAATGAGGAATTGCCACTTCCACGCTCACTTCATCACCACAGCTAAAACTCTGTGGGGCAAAGAAAACAGGGTCATAGAATGGTTTGAGTTGGAAGGGACCTTGAAGATCATCTCATTCCCACCCCTGCCCTGGGGAGGGACACCTCCCACCAGCCCAGGTTGCTCCAAGCCCTGTCCAACCTGGCCTTGAACACCTCCAGGGATGGGGCAGCCACAGCTTCTCGGGGCAACCTGCCCCAGGGGCTCACCACCCGCACAGTCAACAATTTCTTCCTAATATCTAATCTAAATCTACCTTCTTCCAGATTGACGCCATTCCCCCTCGTCCTATCACTCCATGTCCTTGTAAAAAGGCCCTCCCCAGCTCTC